ACTTCTTCAGGGGGGAGAATATTATAGACAGAGAAGTTAATTAAATATCTTTTAGGCAGTTAGACAGGGCCTCCCTTAAGGCACCAGCCCTCCAGAAGCCAACACAAGGAGGAGCCAACATGAAGAACAATTGAAGCATATTCACTGGTTAGCATTATAAAAAGAAGAGGCACTACTTCTTCTAAAGATAGATAGCAGTGATGGATATTCTAAATGGGAAATTCCTTATGTGTGACTTGTCTTCCCATTTAATCTCCACTTAATCGATATTACCTGGGTGACTGTACTTGTAATCTCTTTGGTTGGTCATGGTTTTGTCCCACCTCATGCCCACCTTGTAAATTTCCATTGGGTCTTATAGTTTTGTCCCACTTTGTACCCATCTCACCACATGGCTTTGCTGTATAAAACATCTTTGAAAAGTGGGGTGGGTGGGCAACCCACCTTCTGGTCCCCTCTTCTGTCTGGTCCCCCTTCTGCCTTTCTTAGGCAGAAGCTTTCTTTCTCTCAATAAATTTTTCCTACTCTTAAAAAGAAAAGAAAACTCCTTCCCTTCCCCCTACATCCAGGCCTGTCTTGTGGGCTCCATTGTGGGTGGCAGTGCTGCTGCAGGTGTTGGCAGGCAGCTGAATCTGCAGCATGAGAAGCTGTGTTATGTAAAATATTACAAATCTTCTTCCTCCCAAGGAGTTCTTTAAAATTATTGTCTGCTTGCTCTTTCTAGCTGGACTGAATAAAAGTCAAAGACACAAGTCCTTTCCCAGGACACTGTAGGAACCCATGGAAGTTGAGGATTGTTCTCCCTAAGAAGAAGTGTGCTTAGGAATGGCAGGTCTTCACTCCAGGACACTCAGGAATGAAGGGCTCTGCTGCAACAGAGCTCACCAAGGTTTAAATGCAGGATCTCACGCAGAGGAGATTCATCAGCCTGACTACTTTTTGAGGATATACTGTTTCCACAGTCTCCACACATGAGAATAATACCTCTAGTTATCTTTCTGTAACTTTTAGACTAATGGAGAGGATTACTATGATCTCTTTTTATTGTCATTTCCAGATCCTCCAACTCTCAGCACAGCAGCCAAGAGAAAAAACACAAATGAAACTCTCTAGAGCTACCCTATCATTCTGTGCATCAGACTCACAAAAGAATTTGGGCTTCAATAGTTTTGTTTCCTGCAGTGTATATTCACAATTCTGCCATTGCATGGAGCTGAGAATCTTCCTAGTGAGCCTTTAAACTGAATTCCTCTGCATGTGCTCGGATGACTTAGCTACCCCAATCTCTGCAGAGTAACCTAGACGGGCCAGTTTAGGACCTTATTAATCATGAGATTAATACAAGTCACCTTTGGCCTCTATAATTGCAAGAGGTTCTCAGAGTTATTGCCATGAGCTTCCAGTCATTTGTTAGTATGGCAAACTGCTGCTTGGGTAACCTTGGTTATTTAGATTGCTGCACGTGCATTTTCAATTTCTTCTTCAAGGCCAGCAGTGTAGTAGGTTTTCTGTTATATACAACATCCTCTAGGACTATTTTTTTCTTCTGAAGTATATATACATTTTTGATGGAATATATATAATATATAATATATAAGTCATTTTAACTTATATACACCTAAATAATATAGACACATGTTTATAGCTTTTATATATTTTTGTGAACATTTATTACAGTAAAATCATTGTTAAATATGGATGGATGCTGATACTGTAGCTCAAAGTAGTGGATGATGTCTCAGTCATGCTGCTGTAGTTTGAAAGTGTCCTCTAAAGCTCATGTGTTGGAAACTTAGCTTCCAAGTCAACAGTGCTGGGAGGTGGGGCCACCTCTCATGACATCTTATGTCATTAGAATTCTGTCCTCAAGAATAGATTAATGTCATTACAAATCTTAGACAAACCTGTGCATGACAATGATTACTAGATAAAACATCAAAGTCTAGATCCATGCAAGAAATTATCAATAAGCTGCATTTTTTTCATATCAAAAACTTCTGCTCCATGAAGGGCAATACTAGTAAATGAGAAGATAAGCCACAAGTTAGGAAAAATTATTGCAAAAGACACATCTGGTAGTGGACTATTACCCAAACTGTACAAAGAAATCTTAAAATTTAGCAATAAGAAAACAAACAAACCAAAAAATTGGGTGAAATGCTTTGGAAGACTTTATCAAAGATATATACTTATGGTAAATAACATTATGAAAAGATATCCCACATCATGTGTCATCAGGGAAATGCAAATTAAAAGATATCGCTAACATACTAGTCACAACACTAAAATAGAGAACATGACAACAAAAATTGCAGGTGAGGACATGGAACAACATGCACTCTAAATAATTTATTTATTTATTTATTGGTACTGGGGCTTGAACTTGGGACCGTGTGCTTGCGAGGCAGGTGGCGGAACCACTAAGCTAAATTTCTGGCCCCAATTCACTCTAATTTATTCTTGTGAGAATGCAGAGTGACACAGCCACTTTTAGAGACAGTTTAGAAGTTTCATATTGACTCTATATGACCAAGCAATCGAGCTCCTTAATATTGACCCAAAGTAATTGAAAATATATGTCTACAGTAAACCTTGCACAGAGCTGTTTATAGCAGATTTATTGTTAGTTGTCAAAATCTGAAAGAAACTAATATGAATTAAATGAATAAATAAACTGTGGTTTTATTCCATAAAAAGGAATATTATTCAGTGTTCAAATGAAATGAGCTTTCAAGCCATGAAAGATGTGAAGAAAAGTTACATGCATGTTACTAAGTGAAAGAAGTCAGTAAAAAAGGCTACATATGGTAGGATTCCAACTAAAGACAATCTGGAAGAGGTAAACTGTGGAGAACTTAAAAAGGTCGGTGGTTGCCAGGTTTTGGGTTGGGAATATGAACAGGAAGAGCACAGAGTATGTTTAGGACAGTGTAATTATTCTGTATGATTCTCTATTGGGTGATATATCCCATTAAACTTTTGTCAAAATCCATATGGTATGAAACACCAAGGTGATCGCGAATGTAAAGCCTGAACTTTGGATGACTATGATGTGCAAATGAAGGTTCACCAGTTGTAACAAGTAGACTACTCTGGATGAGAATGTTGATAATTTGCAGGGTTGCTTATTTCAGGATATGTGAAAAACTTCTGTACTCCCATCTCAATTTTGCCATAACCTGAACCTACTTTAAAAACTTAATCTTTAAAAAATGTTGGGGTTTTGCAAATATGTGATGGGTGGAACACAGGTAGATATGAGGAACAGAGACAATAGCCATAAAAATAGACAGACATGTGAGTGGGTAATACTATACAGAAAAATATACATATTTAAAATGCTAAATGAAATTGCATCTAGTTCATAATTAAATGAATTATTTTTGTAGAAAGAGAAGGTATAATTGATAAACAATAATTGAAAAGGTCCACAGTAATGAAATGTATGGGGGAAGCAGCTATACCAAATGACCACTGCTCATGGTATGAGTTTGTGAAACCTCTCTAAGGGATAATTTTTTAATGGGTTACATTTCTATGAGTATGGTTCCCTTAGTGTAAGATTTAATTTTCCTATATTGAGTAATTGACTATTCTATTCTTCTATTTTATTTATTTATATTTTAGTTTCTTACTGTTTAATTTCTGCTCCTCAATTCATCAGAGACATTTCAAATTGTCTGCTGAGCTTCACAAGCTATCATTGCTTGCTTTGCAGTCTGTGGTGGACAGAATGGTTGGTCTATTCTATATTTTCTACCTGGATTCTCTCTTTTCATCCTTTCCATTCCACATACTCCCAAGACACAGACAGAGACAGACACAGACAGAAGACAGACAGACACACATACAGAACAATTTTTCTTGATAATTTGAGGATAACTTGTGATTTGATTCCCACATCTTCACACAAGGGTACTGCACACATTTGATGCTCCATGATCATTTCTCTCATTAGGCTCAGGTTTCATCTTTACTTGTTCTGTATGCAAACTTCCATGTCTGTATATGTGAGTTCTCATTTCTCTATATTTCATTTCTCTAATATTGTGTTGATTTCACTGCTATCATCTCTTTTGCTGTACTTTGTGGGTTCATGCCTCTTTCACTATCTTTACTATCTTTTTAAGAGGGTTTCATGGGGATAAAAGAAAACATGAACATTTAACTCATCACTGAGACTATAAACTAACTCGCTTGAGGTGATGTTAGAAAATCATACAATCCATGTAACTAACTTGGGACGTTAATCATTTATTCATAAGTACTTTCTTCAACTGTGCTTTGGACTCCTCCTTTATTGGGGGGGGGGGTGAGATGAGGTATGTAGTCTAGCAGGCTGGCCTTGAACTCACTATGTAGCCCAAGCTGGCCTCAAAATCATGATGATTCTCCTGCCTCAGTCTTCTAAGTGCTGGGATTACAGGTATATGCCATTATGCCCAGACCCTCCTTTCTTTTGAATATCGGCCATGTCTACCTTATGATTTCCCCCAAAAGAAGTGCTTCTTTTGCATGAGAAAAGCCTCTTTAAAATATTTGCATACTTCTTAAAACAGCTTATGTTGGTCTTGTTTTCCTTTCTTCTCTTCTTTCTCTATCAAGAAGCCTAGGCTTTTGGGAGGCTGCAGCTCCCATATCACCTGTTCTTCTACATCCTGTTAGGGAGACAATATTAAGATGTCATATTTGGCTCTCTAATAGTAAGAGATCAATATCCGCCAATGTGATCTGTTTGTGGGGGCTGGACTTTGCCTGCAAATATAAATACAGAGCCTACTACACTGGCTTTGTGGCTTTCTTAAAATCATTTTAGCCCTTCATAAAGGACTATCACTGCAAAACTCTGCTTTCAGTTTCACTGGTGAAAAGCTGACTTGAGGGATGTCCACTGTTGTGAACACGTATAGGATTTCTCCTCTATCACACAGCACAGACATTGCTGAAACCACAGTGGATTCCAGAAGCAGACATCCAGCAGCCAGGCCCTTGGTTGCTCCTCAGAGTTTGTGCTCAGCTCCCCCTGCAGTTCCTGCCACTGTGTCACTCAGAGCACAGTAGTACACGGCCGAGTCTGACTCTTGCACTGAAGCTTTCTCCAAGTGGAAGGAGCTGGTTGCTTTATCATATGTGGCTTCAAACCCTTTGTTTCTTCCCTTCTCATTGACTGTCACAGCTTTTAGGAGGAGCTGTGGACCTTCTCCAGAGTATTGGACATACCAAAAAAGAGTAGGGTATCCCGAGGCTGTGTAAGTGCAGTTTATGGTCAGAAGACCCCCTTCTGCGGTGCTCACTTGGCCTCTCGTCTGTGTCACTGACTGTCCACATATCCTTCCTGGAGAAAATTAGATCTATGTCATTTTAGGCTTAAGCTTTTAGAGAAATTCAAAGATTTTATCATGTAGTAGACAAAGGAGTCTACATTGTAAAAGGCATTTTACTTACCAACTATTAAGAATATCACAGTTACTAAGCTGGGGGAAGTTTTCATCTTTAGGATGTCTCCTAAGTAAGATCTTGATTGCTTACATGAAGAACTATTGAAGTCACATTGAAATGATGAGCCTAGACCTACAATTCACAAAGGAAATGAGGTTGTGTCAGGAAGCTGCGCCCCCTGCTGGACAGGGGCTGATCTACAGCGAATGTTTTCCTGGACTTCTTCCAAGTCAGAAACATATTGTCACCCCTGACCTCATTTATACAGACATACCAGTCTTCAGGTGGCCTGTGTCAATTTGTTGGACGGCCACTGCAACCTCTAAGGTCTTTTTGTTTATAGGATACTACTGACATGAAAGTATTTTAGTAGTTACCCCCATACACAGGGTAATATTTAGTTGACTAGTCCCTCTCAGAAGGTATCATTTGTCTTGGACTTTTAATACAGTACTTTATATCCTTGGGTGTATATTGTGAGACAGGCTGAAATCCAGTAAAAGGCATAAATGTGAAATTTGGTGAAATTGTAGGAAATCATAAATCATGTCTTTATCATATGTTTCTGTGTTTCAGCACTGTTTCTAACATTACAGCAGTGACTGAGAGTTACTCCATGCCCAATTTTGTTAAATAAAGCTAAAATAATGGTCACTAGTCTTTGATTGAGAAATCACTGGTACAAATATTTTGTGTGTTCTAAATAAATGTCAATTTTTATCTTTTAAAAATTTTATTGCTATACTTTTGGCATACATATGATCACACTCACCATAAGGAATTTCTACCTGTACATAACACATCTTAATCCTTTTTTCCCATTCCCTTCCCTTCCCTTCCCTTCAATCCTTCCTCTCCTCCTCATTTACAAAACTGTTTCCGTTGTTTTCCTTCCATTCTTTGCTTATATTTTATTCCCTATGCCCTTCCTTCCCTTCTTCCTCTCCACTCCTTTCCCATTTGAACACTTTCTTCTTACTTTACAGTATCTATCCTCCATTTCAGTCCTTATTTACCCTTCAGGTTTCTCACACAAGAGAAGCAATGTGATATTTAAACATGTGCGTACAATTTATTTCATTTAAAATTATGTTCTCAAAGTGCATCCATTTACCTAAAAAATGTCTCAAGTTTATCCTTCTAGGGATATTATCATTTTAAGAGAAAATTTTCAGGAGATAGTATAAGTATGCTGCAAATTATTTATACTTTGAATATTAGGAATTTCAAGCTACCAAACCAAAATGATTTTATAATAATCTTTCTTTGTACATGTGATCAAGTAAGTATGAGTGAATAGAAGACAATTTCGGGACTGGGGATTTAGCTCAGTGGTTCCTTCACCTGCAAGGACCGAGTTTGATCCCCAGTACAAAAAAAAAAAGAAAAAAAAGAAAATTTCATGGAAAATTTATGCTCATGGAAAAACATGTAAAAATAATTTGAGAGAAATCCAATTGATAATAAAGGTTAAAAAAATCCTTTATATAAAACTGAAGAAAATAAAAGGTTTTTATAAATTGTGAAAAATAGCATTTTCCTGAGCAAAAAAAAAATAGAAAATCAATATTTTATGTTAATATATACATTAAATATAATTTTAACTTTCCAGTTTTGAAGCATTTTTTTTTGTTTTTCTTTCCTTTGTTTGCTTAAGGCATATTGACTATGAGGAAAATGGAAGAAATTGTCTAAACATTTATGCTGAATAATACAAGAACAAAAATTATCAAAAAGTTCTGAAAAACAGTACTGGTGAAGAATGATTTATTCTAACAAACAATAATACTTACCATACAATTCCCTTCTGAGTTTGGCATAGAATGAAACAAATTTATCAATGGATCTAAATAAAGCACATGGAAACATCTTTTAGTGAAAGGGTAAATTTGATATATGAAAATGTTGCTCATTATTTTAGGACAAGAGAATTTCTGTTTTACTGGCAAATAGGCTTGTATCTCTTTCTGAGTAGTCCTGCCCAAGTATTGCTGGCAACTGCAGTCATTGACCAATTCATGATGTGAAGGATGAGGCACAGGAAAACCTTCTGTTCAAACACTGAGGTCTTCCATTCTGGAGCTGTTAAGAAGATGGAAGGAACTCTGACAAAGTTTATCACTGAGTATGCGTGTTTAGGAAGTAAGTGTAAGTGCCATTTATTCACACCAAACAAACCTAAGTCAAACTAATTCATTAAATAGTATAAAAAACATGACTTACAAAAGGAAACAGATTTTAAGGTTTTTCTTATTTAAAACAATGATTGCCCCATAATATTTATCAATTCACTGTGGGGCTCCTCTGAGAGTGGCATACAAAGAACCAAATAGATCAATGGAAATAACAAGCAGGTGGAAATAGTTTATAATAGTAGGTGGAATTCAATATATTAAAAAGATGATTATCATTCTAAGAGAAATGATGCCTTCCCTTCTTTATATACAGATAAAAAGGTTGACATCTCTGTGGAGGAGGCACATTATATATCTTTGTGAGAGCCATGAATTATGGGTCATTTTATGGATGTGGCTGATGAGGAACAGGGAACCCCTCACTATGGAAACTGAATTTTTCTGTGCTAGAGGTGTTTAGAAGGTGGAAGAAACACTTGGTGCAAAGTTTGTCACACACCAGGCACCTTTAGAAAGTAACAAAGACTACTATTTACTCACAGCAAATAAAGCTATGTCAAACCAACCCATTAAATAGTACCAAACAGCATAATGTCTTTAAAATTAACAGTGAGATTTCAAGTCCTTCATTATTTAAAAAAGTCTGTAACATTAAATTTATTCAATAAATACTTATTGGATGAATCAGCACAAAAATGCAATAATTCATAAAGATTTTTACTGAGTTTTCAGTAATTTCCTTCTGCATTTCCTTAGCCAATATTTTCAGCTGGCTCTGAGAGCCAAAAGGGAAATTGTTTATAGTAGCTGTACTTTGTTTTCAATCTTCGTAAAAAATTCTGTCTCTAACTTCAAGCCACAGCTTCATGAATACAGATGTTTCTGATTACTAACAACTGTGGATGTGGTCATGAACCTGAAAAGGGGTTTGCTCAGACTGAGTGCCACAGCCCTGGCCACTTCCACCTAGGATTATAACTTTCTGCCTTGGTCCTGACAGCAGGTGGCTGTCTCATGCAGACCCTGGGATTTTGGATCACTTCCCTGGAACAGTCTTGTCACTGTAGCCTTGCTCAGTGCACAGAAATACACCACTGAATTCCCCAATTGTGAACCTGATATGATGTAATGCAATTAGTAGCAGCCTTTGGTTGTATTTTGCTAGTTGTAAGAGTCCTGAGGAATGAGGAACCCCATCTCCCCACTGCTGGTCTTCTTGTGCCAGAGGAGACTGTAACTGATGTCATAGGTACAGTGCAGAATCACAGCCTCCGTCTCTTGCACCAGCACTGCTGGCTGGGCTTGAGTTTCCTTCTGCACAATGCTGGATACTGAAGTATGAAGGATCAGAGAGTTTAGGGAGAAGTGATGTGGGACAAAAAATTCCATATTTATGCCATGTTTTTTCTTCTTCCCATATTCCCAAAAAGAAACTTCCTATATGCCAGTCCTTAGGTCACAGAGGAGGCCAATTCCCACTGAGACCTTCTTACCCAGCCATTTCCAAGCCATGACCAACTTCAGCAGTCTAGAGAGAGACAGTTTTCATTTTTATTCTAGATGGAAAATGTACCTTTCTTCTTGAATTTCAGTGCTCTGCATTGTGATGTGAGCCTGACTCAGGAGGGAAGAAATACCAGGCTCTGTGCTGCTGCTGCTGTTGCTGCTGCTGCTTAGAGCAGGAAACCGAGATTTCTTGGTGCAGCAAATGAGTGGGATCAGGTCACACTGCTCTGTGCCCTCGATGATAGCCTCATCCAAACTGAATTCCTTCTGACTTAACCAACTCTAAATTTAACTTGTCATTCACATCCCACCTTTCAAAATCTAAGGACATCTGTCATGATGATTCTATATAGAGACATATATATTTCATATATTTAACATTTCTCCATTCTGAGTTTCTTCTATTTTGTCATTGCCTGTATAATAGAATTCCAAATGATTTATTGAGTGAATTGCACTTTTCTTGGAGACATAGCCTTTAGGTCAAAGTAATATCAAGCAGCGGTCTCCTGCAAATACGTTCTTCCATTGAGAAACTTTTACCAAGACCTTTGCTGAAGGGCAGAGGTGCTGCCAAGGAAGCCAGTGCTTAGAAATGGATCTTCATCCCATGACATTTTTATCCTAATGAATGATTTTTCTATTTTGTAAACCATTGGGTAACTGAGTTTTATTTTCAGGAATGCCTTTTGGCAAATGATGAAGCATTCACTAAATACAATTTATCTTTATTGCTAGAGAAATAACACCTAACTAACATGATTGTCAGACTCTGGCTAAATACCAGAATGAAAGAGAAATGGCAGAAAGCATATGTTTGTATTCCAGTCTAGCCACAAAATAGGAATTACATTATGTAAACAGATCTGGTGTGGTGTGACATCTTGTATGAGAATGTCATGAACTTCAAATATAAAATTCAGAAACTGCATTTCACTTTCTGGACTCCTTTTGACATATTTAGGAACTTAGATATGTAATTGGTGCAATTCTGTGCTTTTTGTATTAAATTATTTTGTGATAAAAGAAATAGTGTCATACTATTTTCCTTTTCTCAAAGAAAAGTATTTTCATTTATTCTGTGTTTTTTCCTTTGAAAAATTTTCATTTGTACATTTTATTTTACTAGTAGTTATATTTTTCACAAGGAAAATGTTGTGGTTAGAATTATGTTCTCCATATCTGTACTACACTTCATTGTTTTCAGTAATTCCTATTTAGTTTTTAAACAAATCTTTTCTCCTTTTGAGTAATGACATCCAGAAACAGATCTTCCTAGTACCTTCAGGACTGTCAGTTGCAGGAGATCAGTTTTCCTTAATCTCTTGATTTCAGTGACCATTCTTGCTAACAATATATGAGTGACATTCATTATGTTGATGTCTTTTCTTCAAGGACTGTCTGTCTGGGA